TAAGATGAAAACATTTTTGTCAGGTTGTGTTTCTATATATTTTATCATCTGATGATGACAAAGGAAGCAATCTTGTGAAAGTTCTATGTAGCCGAGTACCTGGACTCAACAGATTCAGAAGAGGAGGCCCTGGAAACAATTTCAGTGGTATCCGACCAAAACTGGTTTTTATGACCAAAACAAAATTTCGGCAACGGTCTCAGTTTCGGCCAGAACCGAAACTTCCTTACAAGGATTATGTTTTGAGGGAAAAATTAAGAAAACGTTATATAATCAGTCAGTCTTTATTTTTTTTATCTTTGAATCACAACGTTACGCAGTTTTCGACATTTTTACTTAGTTATTGATAATCAACTAATCAAAATCAACATAAAAAACCCTTATTCAAGAAAAAATATTAATTGCACCTTAAAAATACTTGAAATAGGTGAGGTGTTTATTTGAGTAGGTGTAGATCCTTCTTTTGAATATTATTGATGGGTTTTCAAAAATATTAAACATAAAATTACTTATTTGAGTTGTTACCTAATATCACTTGTATGAAATTTAACGAGCCGAACATGACCGATTACAGCGCGGGAACTCCCGAATGCAGTTTCGGTTTCGGCCGTAGTTTCGGCAGGTTTGCCGCCGAAACCGAAACTAAACCGAAACCCGTTTTTTTGCCGAAACTCGAGCGAAACCGAACTTTCGGTCGGACACTAAATTTCAGATTTCAGAGAAGTGTAGCTCAAAAGAATAAACTTTAAATGTATTCCCCCGGTGGCTCCCCATCATATGGGGGAGAGCTTGGAAAAGATTATTTGGATCAGTGGAACGGGCACTCGAAATTGTAATTGAGTATGAGTAGAATTGTATCAGTTTTATCAGGAAAAGATTAAAAAGTTCGTGTGGCAGAGGTAAAAACTACAACCGATACCGAAACACGGAGGGGAGAATTCTAGAGTTCATTTTATAATATTATAATTTGTTTTGTACTTTAATTTTATTCACTCATTTACATCCAATATTTATGTTGATTTACTATATTTTACCTAGATACGAAACAAAGAAAAATTGTTTATGGAAAATTGTCTAACTTGAAAATGAAAAAAGAAAATTAGAAAATTGTTTTNTATTTTTTGTAAGTGACTTGAATATGAAAAGAGCCGAAATAACTCTCATCTTTGATGGAACTGGGCATATTGATACTTTCGTTACATTTGACTCACATAAACTATTTTAAGCTTGACGAGAGCAAGGCATATGACATTTGGATGGGAGCATTGGGAAGAGATCATACCGTGGAGCACCCTAGTGAAAAATATGTCATTTATAGCAAACATTTTTCTCCAAACGATGTATATTACTGGAGTTCTTTCCCCAACAACAAATCGTTATTTTTAACACCTCGACACGTGTTTCGATCACCAAGTGATCGTTATTTTTAACACCTCGACACGTGTTTCGATCACCAAGAGATCATCTTCAAAGAGGAAGATTAAAACAGTTTTAATCTTCCTCTTAAAGACAGTCAGTTGGTGATCGAAACACGTGACAAGTTTACCTTCAACCACTATATGAAGAGTGGTTCTAGTCCAACTTCAGGATTTTGTATTTTCACTGCTTACCAACCAATCCATGGTAGGAACCGTTTAATCAAAGGTAACACCTCGTTAATTCTCAGTTTTGACTGCTGAAAGTTACCACTGTAAGAGGGCGACAGCCGGTTAACAGAATAACAATTTTTTTTATATAACCATCCCTTTTATGCAAATACATTCACAATAATTGAGGAATGTTGCCGAAATAAAAAAGTCTGAGTAGGGAAACAACTCTGATATATATATTCATGCTTTAATTTAAGCTATCATTAAAGTCCATAAAAAAGTAAACATTTGTAAGAATCCGAAGTTTTTTTGTGTTTCCCCAGAGTCAAAATATGGGGTATCAAGAAAAAACATTTAATACTGTTTCTGGAATCATATCAATGTATTATACAGTTGGTGCCTACAGAATACAATCTGAAGGTATTTTGTAACAGAACAGCATTTTGGACAATCAAATAATTTCCCTTTTGATTTCATAAAAAATGCACAAGGCCTTCAGACGGAATCTCTTGCATAAGTTCTATTTACATTGCTCACCAACTGATAGGGTATTATATTCCAACTGAAAAGTTTGGCAGGTTGAAGTGTACAACAGTTGGAGAGAGTTAGCCCAGTTACTGCTTAACATAAACATCCCAAATCATATCTGAACAATGCTTTTTTGAAATTGACCTCCAACAGTTCAAAACTAACAATGCTCAAAGTAAATATAAATTCTTTTTGCGATTTGTCTACATAAAAGACCGTATTGAAACAAGAAATTAGTTTATTCTTTTTACTTAGGTATTTGTTTTAACATATCAAAAATGGGTATCATTATTTAAATTGAAAGGGGTATATTTTTAGGAGAAATTAGTTTTTGGGAAAACAAGGTTTCGGCGTCTGATTTTGTATAGAATCAATTGTTTGAAATTGATTGCTTCCTTTTGCATAAAGATGGAGAAATAGAAAGTCAAAACTTTTCTTCCCAAAAACAAAAAGTACTGGTTTAAGTTTGAAGATAGTAGTGTCACTAAGTGTTCTGGCAATACATTGAATTTAGTGGAGCCTCTGGAGACACCCTACATTTTGTTTTATGACAGAGAGGATATTGGCAGATCAAGATCTTCAGATGATATGGTGCTGCAGATTTTTCTGGGTTTTCCTGCGCCCCAGAGCGCCAATTAATTTTTGTTGTTGTTTTATAATGTCATGATTTGTAATGGAATCGAATCCAGGAACATCNATGCAATCCTTTATAAATCTTACATCATGAATGAATTGAACAGATTTTAAATATTTGGAAATTCCTACAGCTGTTAGGTTGAATATTGACTTACTTTTCTTGGGTGGGAACTTCATTTAGTTTCAACGAAATTCATCTACCCTTCATATATACATCGTTTACTTACGATGCACTGTTTGGAACCTTTGGTGTAGTAATGAATATTACTGGAGTTTTTCCCCAACACCAAAACGTTATTTTTAAACTTCGACACGTGTTTCGATCACCAAGAGATCATCTTCAAAGAGGAAGATTAAAACAGTTTTAATCTTCCTCTTTGAAGATGATCACTTGGTGATCGAAACACGTGTCGAAGTTTAAAAATAACGTTTTGGTGTTGGGGAAAAACTCCAGTAATATTCATTACTACACCAAAGGTTCCAAACAGTGCATCGTAAGTAAACGATGTATATATGAAGGGTAGATGAATTTCGTTGAAACTAAATGAAGTTCCCACCCAAGAAAAGTAAGTCAATATTCAACCTAACAGCTGTAGGAATTTCCAAATATTTAAAATCTGTTCAATTCATTCATGATGTAAGATTTATAAAGGATTGCATTATTTAAGGAATTCAGAAAAATTATAAAATCACATCTAAAATTATGTTGACCAATAGCTCTTAATAATTTTCTTTCAGAACTTGTTAATGCAAGTGGAGAAAAAATTGATTTCAAATTTATCACGAAACTGTGTGAGCTGCAAGGAGAAGAATTTTTAAGTTTGACTAACAAAATTGGGGAAAGTCATATTGATTGGAGATCTCAAAAAATGAAGGTAAGTTTTGTCGTATTTCCATTCAATGTGTGGAACATAGTTATTTTTAGGGAAATCTTCACAAAAAAATCAAAGTTTCCAAAATTACGTATACCTATAGAGCGTGTTTATTCAACAAAACAATTTTATTGAAAGTGCTCTATTATTTTGAAATTTATTTTGATTTGATAAGTGTGAGAAACTTTGAGAATACTTTGATGCAATAAGAAATGTTCTTTCATTATTTTGAATTTATACTTGGATTTCCTTTGGTTTCATTTTATGGATTATTGTCGTCAATCTAGGTTACTGATAAAAAGTGGTCTCAAATTATTTCATGTTTTATAAAGTAAACGAAACATTAGCAGAATTGGGTTTTTACTGTAATAAGGCACCGTCCATAAATTGTCAACCGAATTTCATGATTTTCAACCCAATCCCGTCCTTGTCACAGCTGTGAGACTTTTCCCCTCCATAGTGAGACGTCACATATTTAAAAAAATCACATCTAGAAATTATAGGATTGAAACAAAAGTTCCGAAATCCGCTTTATTTATATTCCAATTAATTTTTGTTGTTGTTTTATAATGTCATGATTTGTAATTATTAAAAATTTTACATCTTTCATTTACTACATTGTGTAGCAATGCTGTGAATGATATCTGATTAAATTCCATAAAGAATGTTTAGAATACATACTGAATAGAAAAAAAAGTGTTTTTGTATAATTCAGTGTTCATATAAAAGTATTTGTTTCGAAAGTATTTTTCTTTCATGTAATTCAAAGCCAAAATCTTTTTTTCCCAGGTTAATTATTTTTTATCAAACATATCTAAGATTGTTGTTAAACACATTACCAGAGAATAATTCGAAGTTGAAAATGACAATTTTGAAGTGTTAAGTGATTTTAATATGAACGCTATTAACATTCTTTGGTGTATTTACCGATAAACAAATAACATTTCCAGTCAATGCAGATTTCAAAAGAAACAATTAGCAAATTTTTTATTTACAAATTGAATATTAAAATGTGGGAATTGGCTGTTATACAAACATTTTTAATAGGTCAAAGAGAGACGCAAATATTCAAACAAATATACGAATTGAAATAATTGTCGTGAAAATCGCTGATTAATGAACAATCAAGAGTTATTATCAGCAATCTTATTTATATCAATAAATGCTCAATGACAGGTGATTTATAACATTGAATGTTTTTATCAACAACAATGACAAATGTAGAATAGCTAATGTTCTTCAATTAGGCATTGCTATTTCGTTGAATTCTACAAGGCTTTAATTACACATATTTTTTAGACTAGTATTTGCGCTTTGAGATATCACATGATATGGCAATAGAAATGGTCACAAATGATGAAAAATATAGACTTACTTCGTTTTACTGCATCTTCATAGCTTAAACAACTTCTCTTTGAATCCTTTGCACCCATTTTTACAGTTTTTTCACATTCAACAACATTTTTATAAACAAATTCCACAGTTATTACACAACATAACTTATAACAATATTACACAGATCCACAAATGACAAATGTCTAAATACAAAAAGTGAGTTTTGAACTGTCAAGTGTTCCGTGGAGGAAGCATTCAATGTTACCAACATTTCATTTGAAATTTTGCCTTAAGCTGGATGTTCAATAAAGCGTTTTTTTGAGTACACTTACGTGCAGGACACGTGACATTCACTATCTACAAAAAAGGTCGACAGTGTCGATTACTAAAGACTGTGAATTCTTGCATGTTTTCAGAGAGTCTGCCTATGTCTTCAATTTTCCAATATTTTATCAACCACACCGCGGTTGAAAAATTTAATGTCAACGTGTCTGAGACGTTAAAATCGATATATAGAAAGAACACGTAGGCAAAGAGTAGAGTACTTGAAGAAAATGCTACAATGCTATTGTTTTTCTTTAAGATGTGGTTTTCTTATTGGTGTTTTTTACTCTCATTATTTATGAGTTTTTGTATGTTTTCTTAGTTTTCGGGTTTTTTTGTAGTGAAATTTCAATTTTGACAATGTTGACGTGCTTGGTTCTATGATGTGGAAATAACGGAAATATTCCTGGAATCCATTATTTTTTGTAAGTGACTTGAATATGAAAAGAGCCGAAATAACTCTCATCTTTGATGGAACTGGGCATATTGATACTTTCGTTACATTTGACTCACATAAACTATTTTAAGCTTGACGAGAGCAAGGCATATGACATTTGGATGGGAGCATTGGGAAGAGATCATACCGTGGAGCACCCTAGTGAAAAATATGTCATTTATAGCAAACATTTTTCTCCAAACGATGTATATTACTGGAGTTCTTTCCCCAACAACAAATCGTTATTTTTAACACCTCGACACGTGTTTCGATCACCAAGTGATCGTTATTTTTAACACCTCGACACGTGTTTCGATCACCAAGAGATCATCTTCAAAGAGGAAGATTAAAACAGTTTTAATCTTCCTCTTCAAAGATGATCACTTGGTGA